AGTCCCTGTCCCAGCCCCTCTCCCAGTCCCCCCAGTCTCCCCAGTGTCCCCTGTCCCTCCCAGTCCCTCCCAGTGTCCCCAGTCCCTGTCCCAGCCCCTCTCCCAGTCCCTCCCAGTCCCTGTCCCAGTCCCCCCAGTGCCCCCAGTCCCTGTCCCAGTCCCCCCAGTCCCTCCCAGTCCCTGTCCCAGTCCCCCCAGTGTCCCCAGTCCCCCCAGTCCCTGTCCCAGCCCCTCTCCCAGTCCCCCCAGTCCCTGTCCCAGTGCCCCCAGTACCTGCAGCGGGTAGGTGCGGTCGGGGTCAAAGGCGCTCAGGTCCCCGCAGGCCACGAAGGGCACGATGAGCCGGGAGGGGCCCGAGAGCCGCGCCAGCGCCAGCCCTGGGCACCCCGAAACCGTGGGCACCCCGAACCCATGGGCACCCCGAAACCATGGGCACCCCGAACCCATGGGCACCCCGAAACCGTGGGCACCCCGAATCCATGGGCACCCCGAAACCATGGGCACCCCGAAACCAGGGGCACCCCGAATCCATGGGCACCCCAAAACCCATGGGCACCCCGAAACCATGGGCACCCCGAACCCATGGGCACCCCGAAATCCATGGGCACCCCGAAACCGTGGGCACCCCGAAACCAGGGGCACCCCGAACCCAGGGGCACCCCGAAACCGTGGGCACCCCGAAACCATGGGGCACCCCGAATCCATGGGCACCCCGAAACCGTGGGCACCCCGAAACCATGGGGCACCCCGAAATCCATGGGCACCCCCAAACCATGGGCACCCCGAAATCCATGGGCACCCCGAAACCCACGGGGCACCCCCAAACCATGGGCACCCCGAAACCATGGGCACCCCGAAACCAGGGGCACCCCGAAATCCACGGGGCACCCCGAAACCAGGGGCACCCCAAAATCCATGGGCACCCCGAAATCCATGGGCACCCCAAAACCATGGGCACCCAGAACCCATGGGCACCCCGAAACCATGGGGCACCCCAAAATCCAGGGGCACCCCGAACCCATGGGCACCCCGAATCCATGGGGCACCCCAAAATCCATGGGGCACCCCAAATCCCACTGGGGCACCCCAAAACCAGTGGGGCACCCCGAATCCAATGGGGACATTGGGGGGACACCCCGAATCCCAATGGGCACCCCAAATCCAACTGGGGCACCCCGAATCCAATGGGGGACATTGGGGGGGCATCCCAAATCCTCAGGGCACCCCAAATCTCTCCCCCAAAATGGAAGGGACCCCCCAATGGCCCTCATAGACCCCAAAATCCCCTCAGATACCCCCCCAAATCCCCCGAGGGACCCCTTAAAATGTCCCCAGACGCCTCTCAGTGACCCCAAGACATCCCAAAATCCCACCAGGGACCCCAATGCCTCCCCAGATAGCCCAAAATTCCCCCAGAAGCCCCAAAATCCCCCCAGGGCCCCCTCAGAACATTCCCAGACACCTCGCAATGCCCCCCAGACACCCCAAAATCCTGCCAGGGACCCCCAAAACCTCCCTAGGGACCCCCAAAATTCCCCCAGGGACCCCTCAGAATGTCCCCAGACACCTCACAATGTCCCCCAGACAACCCAAAATCCCGCCAGGGACCCCAAATCTCCCCAGGGGCCCCCAAATCCCCCCTGGACCCCTGAGAATGTCCCCAGACACCCCAAAATTCCCCCAAAACCCCCAAAATCCCCGAGGAACCCCTCAGAACATTCCCAGACACCTCCCAATGCCCCCCAGACACCCCAAAGTCCCATCAGGGACCCCCAGGAACCCCCAAATCCCCCCTAGGATCCCTCAGAACAAACCCAGACACCCCCCACTGCCCCCCAGACACCCCAAAATCCCAGCAGGGACCCCCAAACCTC